GCAGGAATGACTGTCCTCTACTGTAGGGTCTAGGAAATAGATATGAACTTTATACCTGTGTTAAACTGTATCACTCAGCTTAATTTCGGTACATTTTATGTTCCCCCTCCTTCTGCAAACACCAGGATTTTGTTAAGGAGTCTTAGGACAAAGGTGCAACCACTTGTCCCTCTATGTCATCTGCCACTGATTGGTATCGCTGGGCCATTCACTGTCCATCCAGTCATTGACCCATGCAAGGGTTGCTGCTGAGATGTCCTTTATATCCTGTCTGCTGACTTTCTTTGCTACATCTATGCCAGGACTGAGGGTCTCGGACTCCTGGGGGCCAAGCTCCCATCTGCCAGGACCCCCATGCCACACCATTCTCTTTTTGTTGCCCCAGGCTCCTCAGTATACCATAAGGTTCTTCTTGACGGGACTCATGGCCACCTACACAATCATCTTTTCCCTTCTCCCCTCAGCCTGGAGGAATCTTTTCTAGTTTCTGAAGGGAGCCCCCCTCCCCTCAAATTTACCCCATCCAGCTTTCACTTGTGGTATTTTCCTCAAAAATTCAGTCTATGTTTACAGGCCTCTCCATTCCCCCGAAGTCTAGATGTCTAGAGAGCTAGGCCAGAAAGCAATTTTATTATTGAGGTATCATCTCCTGAGGTCCAATGAGCACAGGACAAACCAGCTCCTTGAAAAGGGGGCAATGGTGGGGATGAGGTGTTAAAATACCGGTAAGGAAAAAATGGGTACTATTTCAAAAAATTTACATCAATAATCATGTACAAACTTATTATTATTATTATTACTCTTTCTCCCAATTCTCTTTTCCCTGGGGAAGGGGATGTTAGAGCCTTGCAGGGCTTAGTAGTAGTAGTGTAGTAGTAGTAGTAGTAGTAGTAGTAGTAGTAGTAGTAGTAGTAAGCATTGAGTACTTTTTATGGGCCAGATACTATGATAAGTGTTGTACCTATGTTATTTCATTTAATTCTCAGAAAAATCTTATGAGGTAGTTCTCATAATCCCCATTTTACATATGAGGAAACCAACCCTCAAAGAGCCTTGTCCAAGACCACACAACCTGTAAATGTTGAGTCTGACTCTTACCCAGTTTTGACTCTAACCAAATTAATTATGGTTATCCAACTGTGTAGCAACCCACTGACCACACTGCCCAGATGCACCATAAAGACTCACTGGTTGGCTAACCAATGTCACTCAGGCTGTTCATTCACCAGCATTGAAAAATGTCTATGAGCAAGTTAGACAGGTGCCTCCCACAGGTGATGAAACATTGGCATTAACTGGTTTCAGCATGCAGAAGTAGGAAGTTGGCTAGAAGGGAGGTTACTCTCTAGGACCAAAGACCAGACTGTAGTCCTTGGCCCACCTGGTAATGGGCTCCCCAGGCCAGACTCAGAAGAATTGCCTAGATTTCCAGGCTGGAGCCACCTCCCGCCTGTCTTTTCTCTTGTCTGGGGGATTCTGGGAAACCAAGGTCTCCCTCATCTACCTAGAAGTGAATGTGGGTAGAAAGTAGGTGTCAGGTGAAGCAGGTGCCAGTAGGCTGGCCCTGAGAGGCGAGAGTTCAGGCAGGACCAGAGCTACACGTTCCAAGACCAGCTGCTCCCTGGATGAGTGTACACACACACACACACACACACACACACAGAGTGACAGAGCCTGCTGACCTTCCCTAACACTTTTCTTCCACAGTGATAGAAGTTTTTATTTAACTGGGCAACATCCACCTGGAATAAAGATCTCATTTCTCAGCCTTCTTTTCAGTGAGGGGTGGCCATATGACTACATTCTGGTCAATAGATGTACATGGAAGTACATGTGCAACTTCCAGGCAGGGCTCAGCTGGGCGGATTTTTTGCTTGTTGTGCCATTGACTGAGTGTTTAGCTGGTATGTAGGTTGGCTTGGATGGTACAAGACAGCTTCACTCACATGTCTGGCCTCTTGTCAAGAAAGCTAAAAGAATCAGCTAGGACTGTCAACTGGAGCACCCACACGTGGCCTCTCCAGCATGCTGGCCTCAGGAGAGCTGGACTTCTTACATCACAGCTCAGGGCTCCAAGAGCAAGTGTTCTAATGATCAAGACAGACACTCCGTGGCCTTTTACAACCAAGCCTAACAAATCACTTGACGTCACTTCTGCCTACCTTATTGGTCAAAGCAGTCACAAGCCCACCCAGATTCAAGGAGAAGGGACATAGACCTGCATTTACTAATAGGAGGAGTGTCAAAGTATTTGCAACCTTGTTTAAAAAACACAACAGTAGCTCTGGACCACTTAGGTCTGGACTCGAAGTCAGAGAAAAAGAAACTTCTGTCTTGTTTAAACCACTGTTCTTTTGGTTATCTGTCACTCACGGCTGAATCCAGTCTGAACAGACACGTGTGTATGCAGTCACAATATGTAGTGCATTTACAGTCCACAAGGTACAGGGGGTAAATCGTATCAAAATCTCACGGGATTAGGAGTACTCATTTACTCACACTCACTCACTCAACACACCACGTTCGGTATCTGTCTTACCCAGGCTCTTATCTCACTACATCCTTCCCTGTCACAGCGCTCACCATGATCTACCGTAATTACGCATTTACTTGTCTTTATCAGCCTTGCTCTACTCATCTCTTGTTCATCTTTCACTTAGCACCGCGTGCAGGACCCCAATGAATATTTGACCAGGTTCGTATTTCACAGACAGCAGGGGACACTTTGGGTTGCCGGGGGCTGGAGGGTAGTGACTGGAGAGTAGCGAGACTGGTTAGAAATCTGTAATGTGCCTGGAAATGATGAGTCTCTGGACTGAAGCCTCAGTAGTGGCAACAGAAATGAAATGGAGAGAGAGCAGAAGGTAGAATTGACAGGCCTTGGTGATGATGGGTGAGTGAAAAGCAAGAGTCAAGATTGGCACCTAGATTTCTAATCTGAGTAATGGAATAATAAACAGTAGCACTATTTGCTGAGAGAAAACCAAAATGGAGGTGGAAGGCTCAGGACGAAGGTAATGAGCTTGGTTTTGGCTCTCTGCATTTCAAATGCCAGGGAGACACTCGGGTAGAGTTGTGTAGGGGGCAGCTGGTCTACGTGCTGCCAAAGTAAGCACGTGTAGGAGGCAGTGGGACTCAGAATTGGACAGACCAAAAGACTTATAAAGATCTGACCACGAGTTCAGAAATAGCCTCACGTGTGTGCATTCATTGCTCACCCAAATGCGGTAGAGAAAGCAGGGCTCTGGGTGGAAGTAGGAAGGCCCACATTCCCCTCTCTACTACCACATGACGTGTCGGCTTGAGCAAGGAACTCTGTCCTTCTGGCTCATAGTTTTTTGCTTTGTTATGAAAATGAAAGAACTGCCTCAAACCTCTGTTTCCTTCCAGCTCTCACATGTCATGATTCCCAGCTGAATATTTCAAATATCTGAAGATCTATCACTTGCAGGTTACTATACTAGACACTGACCCCATTGCTGCTTCTCACCAAATTAACAACAAAAAGGAGGCCAGTGGCAGGAG